GCCCCCCACAGAGCAAGGCACCTCCTCCCTCTCCGACCAAAGCGGGTGCCCTAGGCTGGCTCCAGAGTTCCTTGTCCAGAGGGGCTCCCTAACAGTGGTGGTGACCACGAGGCCAGGCTATCGTACGTCAGGAAGGCGGTTGGGGCCGGATAGGCCACGGGCTGTCTTTCAGGTTACTCCTGTCGGGCATCTCTGGGTTTGGCTGTGTGTGGGGTGGGTGGAATGGGATGGGATGGGAAGGAGCAGAGGAGTGAATGAGACACAGAGTCAGCCCTTGGACTTGGAGGGCTTAGGCCAGGTGGGGAGATGAGCTCAGGCACCAAGAAGCACCCCAAGGGTGCCTTCCCACAGTGCCCCAGAGCCCCGGGGGAGACCTTTGGGCTGGCTGGCGGGCTGGAGGGGCAGCTGGACGCTCTTGATTGTGTGTGTGGTGGGATGTCTGGAGGGCTTTGTGGCTGAGAGGCTGACTTGGAGGTTTGGGGAGGGCCATTCCTTAGGGGGTGAAGATGGAGGCCCTAGGAAAGGAGGAGCCCAGGCAGAAGGGGAGCTGAGAAGGAGCCTGCGGGGCTGGGAGACGCTGTGCACTTTGGGGGAGCACCTGTGGTGGGGATGGTGCCTCACAGCAGTGCCTTTGGCTTGGCCCTGCCAGCTCTTTTCTCCTTAGGTCCCCACCCCACCCCCTCAACCTGCTTTCTGTTTACTGGGCGTCTGCCCCAGCTCAGAGACTTGGGGGTACTAGGAGAGACCAAGACATTGCTTCCACCTTGGACAGGGTTGGAGGGTCCCGTGCCAGGTGCCCTTCAGGCTCGGCACCCCCAGCCCCTGCCCCCGGGAAGCTTGGAGAAGACATGGTGTGGGGACCGGCGTCCAGTCTTGTGTGGAGGGAGCCTCATCTCCAGCTCCAGCTCCCTCCTTCGAGGTCTAAAGGTCAAAGTCGCCACCCCCCAGCAGCTGTTCTGCAGAGTGGCCCCTGTGGGCAGGACTTCGGTGTCCAGGGTAGATCTCCCTCCACTGGAGCGAGGTCCCAGAATCCTGAGGGGTCCCAGGCCTCAGCCCTGAACGGGTGCTGGTGTAATGCAAGCTGATGGCTCTATAGGAACCCCCTACAGATCTATTTTTATATGGAACTCATTCACTGGACAGAGGGAGGTGGCCTGCAACCCCCCAGTTCCCCCGTCTGAGCCCACCCAGGGAGGGAAGGGGCCGGTTGGGGAGATGGTTTCTTTGATTAGTGCTAGAAAAGTTTTGATAATTTGGGGTTCTGTATGGAGGATAAAGTAATAAAAACTTGTCTGTGATATGGTGTCTCTTTCAGTGACAGTTGTTTTGCCATTAAGTAGTTTGAGACCCTCCTCCCTCTCCCTTGGGGGTTCTCCTCACAGTGTGCGTCTGAGATCTCTCTGCATGGAAACAAATTAGAGGGTCCCTTTCATGAGAGACCCCTGTCTAGTGGGGGACACTCCTAGGAAATAACAAGACACTGTGATCAGGGCCCCCAGAGCTTTGCCAGGATGATCTTTGCATCGGATTCGAAGGGGTGTCTCCTTGGGGACTGTCACCTGTGGCCATCCCACAGGCTTGGCCATCCCACAGGCTCTCAGCATATTGTGACAGAGCATGTGCTTGTGGGCACTGCCCATTGGCTGATGGGATGCTGGGCCCTTGCCCGTGTCTTGGTACCAAGGGTATGTTATGTCTTCCATCATATCCATCATCCGAGGGTCAGAAAACACCAATGGCATGGATGCTAATATCAACTAAGGAAAGACGACCGTGAAGTGTAGGAGGCAAGAAGGGTGGGTTACAGCTGGTGGGAGGGAGTGTGGGAGAGGAGACTTGTTCTGCAGGCCCGGTGAGGCAGGGGGGACTGGACTAGGAAAGGGGACTGGGAAAATGCCTAATCCTGTGAAGGGCAACGAGAAGGCACTTTAACCAAAGCAAACTGATTCCAGGCTCCCGTTAAGTGGGAGCTCAGTGTATCCCCAGTTCTGATTGACCTTTCATTGTTTCTCCTTCCATGTCTGAATTGTCTATTATTAAATCTTCAGCATGTGTGTGTCACACTGCATTTTGGGGACTGGTGTAAAATTAGAGGGGGACAACATTTGTCAGGGCTTGTGCACATGTGGACATTGAGACGAGTGTAGGACACAGCGTGATAAGCTCTCTGTTGGCATGATAAGTCATTTCTTTGGCAGAGCGGGGGATAGTAGGTCCTTTGAGCTAAAAGCTGTCTGATGCTGTGAATAAATGATGCCTGGGTGATGTCCTATCACACACCTCAAGCTCTTTCTATGAATAATTTAACATAACTCTTGGTGAGGCACTACATCTGGAATTCTTTCAATAGGAAGCCCCAAGGAGGGCTTTGGAGAGACCAGGGGGCTTGCAGGGCTAAGAATGAAACTTTACTGAAATCCTAGAGTTCTATGAAACGGCCTCAGGGGCCCAGGGAAGGGGACTCCAGGCCAATCTTCCCTCCAACCCAAAGCAGCTCTGCTTAGGGTACAAAGTAAATTGCCCAGAGGTACAAGGCAGTAACAAAGGAAAGTCAGAGCGGGAAATGCTTTCAGTGGGAAGAGGACTCGGTTGACTGTGGCCTGTGTTGCCAGATCTTATTTTTTGGAGCTAGCAATCACTTTTGTGAACTTTGGCAATTTTTAAATTGTTATAATTTTAAAGAACAGTGAACAGCCGAAACCGGTTTGGCTCGGTGGATAGAGCGTCGGCCTGCAGACTGAAAGGTCCCGAGTTCGATTCCAGACAAGGGCAGGTACCTTGGTTGCAGGCACATCCCCAGTGGGGGGTGTGCAAGAGGCAGCTGGTCGATGTTTCTCTCATCGACATTTCTAACTCTCTATCCCTTTCAATTCCTCTCTGTGTAAAATCAATAAAATATATTTTTAAAAAAACACAAAAAAACAAAACAGCCGAAACCAGTTTGGCTCAGTGGTAGAGCGTCGGTCTGTGGACTGAAAGGTCCCGGGTTCGATTCCGGTCAGGGGCATGTACGTTGGCTGCGGGCACGTCCCCGATAGGGGGTGTGCAAGAGGCAGCTGGTCGATGTTTCTCTCTCAACATTTCAAGCTATCTCCCTTCCTCTCTGTAAAAAATCAATAAAATATATTTAAAAAAACAACAAAAGACTAAAAACAAAAAACTGAACATATGTCTGTGGGCTGTTTTTGCTCTTTCTTTGGCTCAGATATATAAAAAATTAAACATATATATGTATATTTAATTTCAGAGAGGGAGAGAAATATCAATGATAAGAATTATTGATTGGCTGCCTCCTGCATGCCCCCCCACTGGGGATCAAGTCCGTAACCTGGGCATGTGCCCCAACCAACTGGAAACTGATAGTGATCTCCTGATTCATAGATTGACACTCAACCACTGGGCCACATCCGTCAGGCCCGCTAGTAAGATTTAAATTTTCTTTGCAGCATTCCAGTCCTTTGATAATTCAGGCCATGCTTTAAATCCTGGGATGGAAAACACATTACTTTCCAAGTCATCCCTTTATGTGGAATGGACTGTTCAGATTGCATCATGTGACGCTTTATTAGGCACCTGCTACATACTACACACTTCCCACACTTGGGTTCATTTGGGCAGTGGTGCACTCAGAGTGAAACCAGGTGAGCCTGGCTCTGGGTCAATCAAGCACATTGGATCCTGTTTCCGTGATATCGAGCTCTTCCTAACACTGTACCAGAGAATGATGGGAATGGTAGAAATCTCTGGGGTCAGGATTACTTGAAAGAAGTAACCATTATTCCATGTGCTGTCACCGACCGAAGGGTCCTTCACCATAAACTATCCATGGCAGATGACTAAGCTAAGCAGTGACTCAGATTTAGTTCCATGCTGATTGTTTTCCATGTAAAAAACTCTGGGAAGTAAGGTGCCCACTGAACTGATTACCGGTACGCACCCTTCTTGTCCTGGCCAACGGGACTACACAGGCAAACACATCACAGACAGAGTTTATCTTCCCCTGTGTACATTTCTAGTCATGGAACAAGTGTGTTAGAGAAAATCGTCTTGGGGCAGGTTCCCCATTCCTGGATCTTGGGGTGAGGGCTCCTCTTCAGGTATCCGAGTTCCTGCCTGGAGTGAAGGTTTTCACACCTGTTCGAAGGTTCCACCCTGACAGCTGCAGCTCCAAACCTGCCCCCAGTCCAGAGAGCACAGCTTGTAAATGACAGGCAGGTGCATATTAATAACAAACACACAGTTTATTGAAAACAGGTACCTCTCAGGAGCTCTTAGAAGAAATCAGAGATACCATTACTCAGGAAAACAATATGTACAAAGTCTCAGGAAAGGGAGCATAAAACAACTCGAATTGAATACAACTTAGGACTGGGTTACTAGGATGGTCATGTCGCAAAATAATACAAAGTATAGCAGAGACACACATGAGAAAAAGGTGGCCCCCAAACCTGGGGTAGGAACTGTTCCCATATTCTTGGACCACATCCCGTGATTCTTTGGGGCAGAGGCACTGGCTGGCACACAGGGATTTCAGTGCTAAGGAACTAGTCCATGCTCAGGGCACAGACCAAACGTGGAATGAGATGACCAGGCCAGTTACACCTGCTCCCTCAATGAAGCCAGTAAGAGAGAAGTGCTCGCTGCAGTCTACAGACCTGCAGAGCCACGGAGAGCTTAGAAAGCTCCCCTGTGCCAGTCACATAAAATCCCAGACTAATCTCAGCCTCCGATTCCCTTATCCAAATCCCCACGAGCTGGAGAGGTAGAGGAGGAAGACATGGAAACTGCCTTCACACCAATTTTTGGTCTTCGGTCGAGATAAATACAAAACACCATTCCACAAGTTAGCCTGAAAACCACTGGCACAGCAGGTGTGAGATTCCACAGGAGGAAGGGATGGGCCTGGGAGGGGAGGGGTGTTTTCTGTGGTCACTGCTGAGACAGGTCCTGACTCGCTGTCCTAGCCCCATTTGTAGTTTGAGCATTCTGGGTCTGTCCTCTCATGGCCCAGAACTCACTTCTCTGAGCCCCAAACTCCCAGCCTCAAGCATACAGAGTAGAAACACCAGATGCACAGGGTTCGCAGGCGAGGGTGAGTAGGCAGTCTGCCCAAGAACATGAGGTCCTTCCATGCCTCCTCCACTGGAGTCAGGACGTGGCAAAGAGGACACCGAGTCCCAGGAGGCAGAAAGCGGCAGCTCCAAGAGCAGGAAGAATTCAGCAGGGAGAAGGACAGGAAAGTTTGATCGCACGGATGTAGTGGGCAGTGTCTTTGGAAGGTGTGAATGGTAAAACTGTCTAACAGATGAGGGAACAGCATCCTCCCGCGTCCCGAATTCTCCAAGAGAACACCACTTCCTGCTCTGGAACATCACACTCAGACAGACAATAAGCTTGAAGGGAAGAAGGTCCCGGAAATGCCCACTGAAGACCCATCTTGTCAAGTTTGGCTTCTTAGAATAGCAGCCTCATTTGTGAATCCGTATGCTGCTGCAGATTTGGGCAAGACGGCTCTATAAAGAAAAGGAGACGGGCTGTTAGAGAGGATGGCACTGGGCATGCTTCTCCAGGGAGCTGCTCAGGCAGCACTGCACGTGTCTGAGGAGCTCTGAGGGAATCTCAGCCCTCCAGTCTGTCTGTTTCACAAACGAATTCACCTTCCTGATTCTCCGTTTCTCATCTGAACATCTCACCTGAGACAGTGAAAGTATAATTTGGGAAGAGTTCTGCTGTAGGCCCAGCTAGATGATGAATGTCACCAGATCTGGGTGGCTGGCTGTGTGATCTCAGCACTGGGCCCATGTGCAATAGGATGTTTGGGAAAGCACCCCTCCTTGTCCTCTTCCTTGGGTATCCCCTTCACAAGAGCCCCAGAGAGGTGGGGCTATGGCAGCCATGTTTGCACTAAGTGCTCCCACCCACCAGCCAAGACCATGCTGACTGGACCAGGGAGGCCCATGTGACCATGTGACCAAAACTGAGCCAATTAACTTCTTCCTCCTGAGCATTTACGAAGACTAGTGTTGGGAAATGAAGCAATAGAGTTGAAAGTGTGGTTAACCAAGATCACCTACAAACCAACATAGAGGGAGGACAGAACCAAGAGCCTTGTGTGGGGGGAAAGGGGTGAGCAGGGAGAGGAAGGAAGATGTGTGTGGGGCCCCAGAGCAAAGAGGAGCTGAAGGAGCTGGCACACCAGAGTGGAGCTCTGTAACCCCCTATTGCTGATGGTCCCATCATTTCGAGGCCTGGCTGTTCAGCGCTTGCTTTGATTCTGCGGATTCTTTGTAATAAGATTCCCCCACCCCCACCGCCCATTCCTGAACTGCTGTGAGGAAGCCTGAGTTCCTGGAGGTCAACTGTGCCCTCACATATAGGCACCAACTGCCTGAATGAGGCAGGATTTTGATTCTGTTAAGGAATTTCTGTGGCAGGCACTCTGGATGGACCTAAACGCAACCTCAATTTAGGGACAGAATAGCTACCAGGTAAGTATGACATCATCAAAATCCACTGGGGGAAAAGAAGGCTGTAAGTACAAAGAGTGAGCCTGGACCTGAAAGACAAACCAAGAAAGCTCCTGAGGCAGCTCAGGTGTGGAGACAAGTGTGAGACTTACGGACAGCTGCTTAATGTTCCCCAAGGCCTCTGGATCCAGCTGTGCAATATCGACCCTCCTCAAGTCACTGGCCAATAACCGCATGCTCTGTGGAGGGGAGAGTGGGTTAAACTGCATGTCCTTCAGGGCGGGAACCTCCATCCAGCAGCCCAGCGTGTCCCCTTCGTGTCCTAACCTTGGGAGCGGGGGAGGGGTGAGGCAAGGTAGGCAGGACACAGGCTGTCACTGTTGTCTCTAAGGATATAGTGACATCAGTGCTCATCACTGGGCCAGCTGCTGGATCACCCGGGTACCAGGACATCCCCATCAGCTTAGCAATGCCCTGCAGACCACACCTGAGATCAAACACCCTTCCTTCCAGGAGGTGAGGCAATTATTTGCTCCACCCAGCCCCGAGAAGCTGGGCTCAGCCTGTCTCAGAACCCCTGGGAGGTACACAGGGGAAGAGACAGCTCGCGCTCCCCTTCCTAGACGACGCACTGAATCTCATCACTGCACACATCGCATGGTGACAGTGTCCTAACTGTTAACCTGTACGACTACTGAACTGCTTCTCCAGGGCAGGAAGGGCTTCTTGGTCTGCTACAGACGGTGCCCAAATGTTCGATGAACAAATGGAACCCGAGCTGGGCAAGGATCTTCCCAGTCTGGGAGAGGAAACTGGGTTCCGAGTTTTAGACAAATGTGGCGATCAGGATCCATGCAACTAAAGGCCTCTGGGGAGGGAAGTGGGTGACAGACCAGGGAAAGAAATTCGGCCTCAGACACACACGGGGCCAGGCATCCCTCAGACGGAAGCACTCACCTCTCCGCCTCCCACGGGCACCGTGAGGAAAACCTCTTTGCTGTCGGCCAGAGGGCTGCCGTTCACTGAGACATTGTAGATCCGCTCTCTGGCTGCTGGAGTTCGAAGGCCTGGGGTCTTGAAGACCCTAGAAAGTGGGAGAAGTCTCTGTAGAGACGGCTTGGCAGACTGCATGACACCAGGAGCTGAGCCCTTCCAGAGCCCACCTAGCCTTGCCCTGGCCAGTTTGGCTCAGTGGATAGAGCATCAGCCTGTGGATAGAAGGGTCCCAGGTTCGATTCTGGTCAAGGGTGTGTATCTCAGTTGCAGGCTCCTCCCTGGCCCAAGCCCTGGTTGGGCCTCATGCAGGAGGCAACCAATCAGTATGCTTCTTTCACATCAATATTTCTCTCTGCCTTTCCCTTTCTCTGAAAATCAATGGGAAATACCCTCGGGTGAGGATTAAACCAAAACAAAACAAAACAAAACACAAAGCCCACCTGGCCTCAATCTGCACTTTTCAAATCACACATTTCTCAGAAGGCGATTTCTAAAATGGGGGGGGGGGGGGGCGGGGGGAATCTTTCTAAGCAGTAATGACTAAACACAGCTGGAGAAGGGAGATTGTAATTATCAAACATACATTTAGCAAGTCAATTATTATCCATGTCAATTTTAGGTCCAGAGCTCCATATAAAATCCGTCCAGAAATAAACTATGGTTAATGTACTTCCAAGAGTAGCTAAGTGTTTCTATCAAGAGGAATTTCCAGGGTCCAAGGAAGAGGATTCAGAGATTACATCATTATATTAATTCCCAAATTCTAACTTTCTCAAGACAGTGACAATGCTATTATTTTTCCTCAAGTGTCCTTTGCTATATGCTCATGTGAAAAACAAAGCTAAAGAAGATGGGAATTAAAAGCGGAAGTAAGTCTTCCTCCTCCCCCCACCCCGCAGGGATAACCACTCTCAGTTCCTTATGCATCCTTCCAGAAACTTTCTGTGTATGTAAAGGCAGATGGGACCATCCATCTAGGACAGTGGTCGCCAACCGATGGTCCTCGAGGTCCAATAGGTTGGCGACCGCTGGTCCTGGACACACTGTGTTCCAGCTGCTTGGAGATGCTTGTAATTCTGAAGCTGCTGCCCCCTCCCCTCCGCACTCCACCACACACACACACACACACACACACACACACACACACACCAGCACAAACAGATCTACTTCTTTTTAAAAGTCTATATGGCATTTCCTAGGTAGTTAACCAGCCCAAGGGAAGGGATACATTCTACTGCAAGAACATCCTTGTTTATACTGGTCTCCTACAAGAGGATGTCAATTTCCCCCAAGGGTATAGGAGAATGCCTACTCATAAAAAAAGCCTTTTGATTAGACTCAGAATAGACCAAAATTCACTAGAGCTCCTAGTCATCAGAGACAAAGATCACTCTCGCATCAGATAAAGAGAAGAATCATTTTGTTGTTGAAACAGTTGAACCTGCACTCAAGGGAGAGGCAAACAACACCAGGAGGCTCAGTCCACCACCCTCTTCTGAGAGGGCTCGGGCCAAGGAGCCAGGAGTTATTTTCTTAAACAATGTTCTTTTCTGCAGTTAAATACTGGGCTTCCACACAAATCCAAGCCGGGCGCTCAGTACTCACCTTGAATCAAATCTGGGCGTCATGCCTGGAGTAGGTTTCACCAGGGACAACTCCATTCGGCCCACAGCTGGGGTAACAGTGTTAAAACTGCTTGACCTACAGATAAGAAATGACCATTAGGCCGAAACCGGTTTGGCTCAATGGATAGAGCGTCAGCTTGGGAACTGAAAGGCCCCAGGTTCGATTCCGGTCAAGGGCATGTACCTTGGTTGCGGGCATATCCCCAGTAGGGGGTATGCAAGAGGCACTAATCGATGACTCTCTCATCGATGCCTCTAACTCTATCTCTCTCCCTTCCTCTCTGTACAAAATCAATAAAATATATTTATAAAAAAAAAGAGAAAAAAAAGAAAAGAAATGGCCATTAGGTGCACAACTCAGGTCCAATGACAGCAGTAGCAGGGGCAGCTCACACTTGGAGCACTGACCTTGTCAGATACTGTCCTGAGTGCCTACATAATTCTACAACCCTATGAGAAGCACCACTATTATCCTCATTTAGAGATACAGAACTTATTTTCAAATAACTTGCCCAAGATCACACAGCCAATCAGGAGAGCCACAACTTTGGACCCAAGCAGTCAACCTCCAGAATCTAACTCCTCGATCAAGCTAAGGGAATAAGAAGAAGGAGACAGGCCCCCCAGCTGGGTTCTGGTCCTCTTGCCAGGAGTTACCACTGCTCAGGAATAACTGAGAGGGGTCCACTCCTTCAGGCACCCTCATCACTACTTTCACCAGCTTGTGTAAGATGCAGCCCCCACTCCCAAATGGTTTAGTGGGGTGCAGCAGAATCAGGTTAGGCCCGTATATTAGAAAAGATACTTAAAAAAAAAAAAAAAATATATATATATATATATATATATATATATAATATATATATATATATATATATATATATATATATATATATATATATATATATATATATATCTTTTCCAGAGAGGAAGGTGAAGGGAGAGAGAGATAAAGACATCAATGATGAGACAGAATCACTGGTCGGCTGCCCTCCTGCTCGCCCCACACTGGGGATCGAGCCCACAACCTTGGCATGTATCCTCCTGGTTCATAGATCGACACTCAACCACTGAGCCGTGGTGGCTGGGCTCCATGGGATTCTTTATTTAGCAGGACCAGGAGGACATTTAAAGAAACTACCTAGTGGAGTAAGTGACAGCTGCTTTGTGACCGACTATGGTGTAACTCTGCACACAGACTGTCAGGCAACTAACCACAATAATCTGCAATGCTTACCACATATTACTGGGCCTCATTCTCCCTATTTGCACCAAAAACTGTGGGGGAGCATAGAGAATGTGGGCAAAACTGGAGGAGGTATTGGTTCAGATCATTTCGAGAAGCCCCTCGGTTCAGATACTCAAGGATTTGATGGCCTGAAGCTCTACAAGAACACGAGCCACAGAAGTCCCCCGCCCCCTATGCTGCCGTAATGGATGTGGCTCTGCAGTAAAACCACCACCGCACAGCTGAACTGGGAAAAGCCGTTACCTTTTGCTTTTGCCTTTTCCTTGTATGGACTGCATTCTTTTCCTGGATGGAGGGCACCTTTTGACCTGAAGTCACAATCAAATGAAAATGAGGTTACAAAAAGCCTTTCCTGCAAAGGGGACAGGGGAACCAGCTTTGGAAAAGAAACCTAATACTGAACATATGAAGGTCTACCTCACAGATGTAACTCAGAACATAACTGATCAACTAAAGCCTCAAACCTGGCTTGGTTTCCAAAAGAGAAGATTTTGGCTAAAATTAAGGTTAAATGTCTTTTGCACTGATTGCAGCCTGGCTGGTCACGCCCCCCCCGCCCCCCCTACATAAAGTGCCACTGAAAAGATGCATCCCAGGTACCCAATACAGGGAACACAGCCGTCCTTACGCCTCCTGTGCCTCGGAGATGCGCGACAAGAACCACTTATCCTCTGACGATTCCCTCCTCCCTCACCTTCCCTCTGCAGAGTGTCTCACAAGTTTCTCTCTCTCACCTCCTCCACGCTCCCCCTGCACAGCCGGACTCCCACACTGGGACGACCGCCCGAAGACCTGGGAGCCAGTTGACTCTCAATCTCCTCACCCTCTCTAGGCTCCAGGCTAGGCTACATGTCCCGGAAGAGTGTTACATGCTTAGCATGTCCAACAACTAACATGTGAACTGCTCCCCAAACCCAGCACCACTCTTCCTCGTGTGTCCCCCATGCCACCAGACGGCAGCTGCCTAAGCTAGAAACCATTTAGTCACATCTGGTTTCCGTTCCTCCCTCCACCAATCTTGTCCATTCTCCCTTTTTAATCTTATCTCAACACCAGCTCTTTTGATAGGGTCGGAGGCTCATCCATGAGTTACAATGTTTCCTTCTCCCAGTGTTTGCCCTCTCCCATTTATCCGGAATAGTATTCTGATATACAGATCTGGTGAAGTCACTCACCACTTCCAACCCGATGAAACTGAACTTCCAAACCTGGAGCACAAGCCATTCGTTATCTGACCCCTACTCTATCCAAACTGCCTCAACTTACACCCCAGCCGTTTCACACTGCTTCCTGTTCCTTACATGGGCGCTCTCATACCTCCTCTGGGAATTCCCTTCCCTTCCTTTTCCAGCTAATGAAATCTCATTCACCCTAAAGGCCTGGCTGTGTCCTAAGAGAACAGGTAAACCTTAATAGCTTCCTCTCTACGCCTACGAACTCTGTACATACTTCCATGATCGTGTTTGTTATCAGCTATTTAACTGGGATCTTCTCTACTAGACTGTGAACTCTGGGAGGGCAACACTGTATTTTAAGTATTTTTGTATTTCCCCATCTGTCAGACCACAGACGGGGAAATACAAAAATCTGAATTACCTACTTACTTTGGAAGTTTTAAGTTTCTTATTTTTATTTTCTTCTTCTTCTTCATCTTCTTCTTCTTGCACTTTCATTTCATTCATTACCTTTCGTGCTACAAGAAACAGTTTAACAATGACATTTCTCATGAGAATAAACTTTCATATATTCACATTTCTTATAGGAAAAAAAACTAAAGCAATCTTAGACTGTAAGCAAACAGACCCAATATAAAGATAATTAAAAAAAAAGAGGGTTTAGACAAAGGAAACTGTAGTGGTTAAGAAACCCAAAACGATTGATGCCCTATTATAGTCAGCCAGCTTTGTAATTAATAAGCGACAAGCCTATTTGTCTTCCTTTCCGTTTAGCCGGCATATCCGATTTCACCGAGAATGCTGGCGGCCAGAGAATGCCGAGGTCCAAACAGAAAGTACAGTGTCAGTCTCTGGTGACTGACATGGCACTTAACGTGTTAAGTGTAGACTGCCCAGCAGGTGTGGCTCAGTGGTTGAGCATCGACCCAGGAACCAAAAGGTCACGATTCCATTCCCTGTTAGAGCACAGGCCTGGGATGGGGGCTCTATCCCCAGTAGGGGACATGCAGGAGGCAGCTGATGATGTTTCTCTCTTGTCAATGTTTCTATCGCTCTCTCCCTCTCCCTTCCTCTCTCAAGTCAATAAAAACATTTAAAAAAGTAAAAGAGTCCTTGCTGGTTTAGCTCAGTGGATAGTGTTGGCCTGCAGATCCAAAGTGTCCTGGGTTCAATTCTGGTAAAGGGCATGTACCTGGGTTGCAGGCTCCTCCCCGGCCCGGGCCTTACTCCGGCATGTGCAGGAGGCAACCAATCAATGTGTTTCTCTCACATCAATACTTCTCTGTCTTTCCCTCTTTTCCACTCTCTCTAAAAAAAATCAATGGAAAGATATCCTCGGCTGAGGATTAAAAAAAAAAAAAAAAAAAAGTGGCCAAAACCGGTTTGGCTCAGTGGATAGAGCATCGGCCTGCGGACTGAAAGGTCCTGGGTTTGATTCCGGTCAAGGGCATGTAACTTGGTTGAGGGCACATCCCCAGTGGGGGGTGTGCGTGCAAGAGGCAGCTGATCAATGATTTTCTCTCATCGATGTTTCTAACTCTCTATCCCTCTCTCTTCCTCTCTGTAAAAAAAATCAATAAAATATATATTTTAAAAAAAAGAAATAAAAGACAGTGGTCACTTTATAGGGCCATCATGAGACCTGGAATATGTGCCCCATAAGAACAAGGTCTTTAATACTTTTATTTGGTGTTTCCAGTGTGAGGCATATTTGTGAGAGCCATTTACAAGTGTGGGTCACTGAATCTATGTAACGTGAAACTAATGTGCTGAGAAAGTTAGTCCTTTACAGTTCTCTCTCACCCCTCTGATCAGGGAGAGCTGCAGCTGGGATGGCCCGTCCTGTAACACTTCTGTAAATCTTGCTAACTTCTCCAACTCAGGGGAAGCAAGCAGACAACATATTTGGTTTCCAGCACAACTTTTTTTTTTTTTTTAATTAATATATCTTTATTGATTTCAGAGAAAGGGAGATGGAAAGAGAGAAACATCAATGATCGGTTGCCTCCTGCACATCCCCTAATGGGGATTAAGCCTGCAACCCAGGCATGTGCCCTTGATTGGAATCGAACCTGGAATCCTGCAGTCTGCAGGCCAACGTGCTATCCACTGAGCCAAACCAGCTAGGGCACAATTTTTGCTTTTATCCTTTCACTTTCACTCATACATCAGACTGGGGAGTTTGGTTAGTATCATTCTTGCATATAATTAACCGAATGCAGCTACAAAATCACATTTTTTTATTTACAAGACTGAGGATCAGACAAGAGAGGGAAGAGGCTCCATCAGTGAGGCCTCCCTATGCAGCCAGCCAACCACCCTGGATCTCAGCTCTCAATTCAACAAGGGATTGTGAAAAGTACTCACTTCTGGTAGATTTCAGGGGTGTCTGCATAGCTTTTGCTGTTAGCTTGTTTATTTCTGTGATATCCAGGTCAGCCTGTGATAAAAACAGCCATAAAACACTAGGCATAGTCCATTGAATATGAGGAACAATATTTTTTAATGAAAAAAAGTTATTTTTAAAGCATATCACATATCATTATGCTAATTATAACACATTTAATTAACTCCCATAAGCCCACCACACCACCCAGGACCCAAAGCATCGACAATAACTTGCTCCTAGTTATCTACTCGTCCCTGTTCCATTTCCTTCTTTCCTCCAAAGGTGACCAGTCTTCTAACTCCGTCATTCTCCAGAAATAACCACCACCATTCCATTTGCTTGAAAGTGTGTGTATATATATTTTCACAAATGTATCTGTCCTTAAATATTTTTAAAAAATATATTTGATTGATTTTTCTTACAGAGAGGAAGAGAGAGGGATAGAGAGTTAGAAACACCGATGAGAGAGAATCACCGATCAGCTGCCTTCTACACACCCCCAGTGGAGATGTGCCCACAACCAAGGTACACGCCCTTGGTAACCGGAATTAAACCCAGGACCTTTCAGTCTGCAGGCCAACGCTCTATCCACTGAGCCAAACTGGTTTCGGCTTAAATAATATTTTGTTTAGTTTTGTTTCTGACCACTATTTGTGGTTAATCCCTTTTTATATAATATCTTGCTATGACTCTATCATAGTGGATTTGTCTAATCTCTTGTCCACAGTCTTTTGCTATCATGAACTCTGCTACTTTGAACAGTCAGACATATATGTCCAAGTTTGCTCTTGGCTACATACTTAGAGAAAGGGCATTATAGGGCTATAGGGTAGCCCTTATGTTCAGCCTTGCCATTATGCCAAATCATTTTCCAAAATGGTTACACTTGTTTACATTCCATCAGCAACCAATACAAGTTCAAAATGACCCACATTGGATAACACCTGGTGCTGTGTCAGACTTCTTGTTTTCCTCTTTTTAAGTCTATGTTTTCCATTGTGATCTTGGGCCCTTCAAAAAGGCTTCCAGTCACCTTTAATTAAACTTCTTCCCAATGGTGGCTACCTACATGTATGAGACTAGTCAAGAACAGGCATGATTCATAGGGTTTTCCTTGTAGGGCATGTGTAACTATCAGAATAGTTGCCATAGACTTTGAGTGACAAGGTTTCATCTCTGGGTTGGGAGGGACTTCATGGAGCACTCAGAGGATTCTGAGGCTGTCCAGGCTTAGCAAGAATCAGTGCTGTATAGATTAGGGATGTCTGATGGTTGATGGGATGGAAAGTGCTGGCCAACTTTCTGCCATCTCTTCAGCCAGCTGGCATGCTATGAAGGGATCATTGGCGGCAGGACATCATTACCTAGCATGCAGAGGATATCCATGTTTACATGGTTGGTCAGTGGATGGCACTAGAACTTGGACTTCAGGGTCACACTATTCTCTGATACGAGAAGCTTCTTGTGCCTAAGATTTATACAAACAACATGGTTTAGGCTGAATACCTGCTTTCCTTCTGGAAGTCTGGAATTATGGCACTGCTAGGCCCAAGATGTGACCGTCCTAATAAAACCCTGCACATTAAGTCTCTAGGAGCCTTTCTGGTAGGTAAGGCGCTGAATTAAGCGTGTTCTGTGTGTCTCCCCGGGGAGAGGACTCTTGGGAGCGTGAGCCTGATTTCCTCTGGACTTTGCCCATGCATCTTTCCCTTTGCTGATCTGTTTGAATCCTTCCACTGTAATAAATCACAGCACAGTAATCCTCTCACTGTAAGGATGCCACCCCAATTCACAGTTTCACTTTTTTGCAATTTCAGCTAACTTGCAGTCAACTTGCAAAATATTAAATGGAAAATTCCAGAAATAACCCACAAGTTCAGAATTGCATGCTGTTCTGAGCAGGTGATGAAATCTTACGTCATCCAGCTGAGTCCTAGGACATGAATCATCCCTTTATCCAGCATTTCCATGCTGTGTATATGCTACCTACCCATTAGTCCTTCAGTGCTCACCTGGCCCCAAGCATAAGAGTAGTGATGCAGGCAATTCTGGATATGCCGAAAAGAACTGGAAAGTGCTTCACTATGTGAAAAGGCGATATAGTACAGTAAGCTATTCTGAGAGAGACCACTTTCACATAACTTTATTATTAAAGCACATTGTTATAATTGTTCTATTGTATTGTTAATCTCTGTGCCTGATTTATACATTAAACTTTATCATAGGTACCTAGGTACAGATCAAGTCCCTATGGAACCTCTTCCATAGTAAGCATCCATTGGGTGGATGTGTGTGAACAGACCCCAACTTGCAGTTTCAAAACAGGTCTAGTCACTTACCGTCGCTGCCTCCTCCAGGGCCTGCTTGTTTCCTCCAAGGGCTTGAAAAAGAACATTTTGTTCAGTTACTATCAGTTTAATTGTAAATCACCTTCCCATGATGAGCTATCTTTCTAAAACGGGACCAGAGTAAACTCCAATAATTTGAGGCCCTTCATAAGCTAGTCTAGTCTTTCTCCAAGCTTGATTTGTCCCCCTCATGACCTAGTCTATGTTTTACTGAACTAAAAAGTTCCTGTTAGTTCCCAAATGTGCCACTCTTTTCTGAGATTCATTGCCCTGGTATTACTTCCTGTGCCCAAAATATTCCTCTGCACCCAACAAATTCCTAGCTCATCCCTTGAAACTGATCTCAAACCCAAAACTCTGCTTGTTTGTCTATGACAGCAGATTGTTGCTAAGTGCTATGTTAGTTGTTCATCCTCACCCAACCCAACAACCACTCAATGCAGTTTAATTCTTTTCTCTCCTCCCACCCTCTGGGTCTTGAACTGAATTCCTTGAGGACAGAGATAATATCCATAGTTTCTGGCAAAATGTGCCATACAGTAGGTATGTATCATAGTTAAATTAATGTGTGTTGAATGAAGAGGTCCGTGCAAGGTTAGATATAGAATAAAAAGTTAGGTTAGGTCTTCCTGCTAGAAACTCTCAAAGTACCCTGTATGACAGTTAAGAACTTAGGGTTTGGAACCAGAATACGCCTACATTCAAATAAACTCTGTACTAACCAGCTCATGAGAAGGAAAGCAACCAATCTTTCTGTGCCTTAATCTTGTCATCTACAAAACGGGGATAATTTTAATAATACATTTTTTTATGAGGATAAAATTAGTTAAAACTGCGAGTCCTTAAATAACATAGTTTTAATTCGACATCACTTCATTGGGGCTGATACATGTTCAATGACTATTTGTAGAAATGTGCAAACAAATGGATTAATAAGCAAAAGGGCAAGCCGCCAAAAGGATCATTAAAAGTCTACTTTCTAAGGAAACCATGCATTTCTATGTCAGGAGGAGGCTACATACTGGGTAATTAATAATAACCCGCTGGCCCAGAAGGCCTTAAGATATTACATGGCCTTTTAGAGAAAACATTTGACTACCTGCAGGGGTAGATGATGGTAAGTGCTAAGGAGATTAAATCTGAGCTTTTTTTTTTTTTTTTTTTTTTTTTTTAAAATCCTCACCCCAGGATATTTTTTTCCAATGATTTTTAGAGTGGAGGGAGGGAAGGAGGGAAGAAGGTGGAGGAGAGAGAGACATCGATTGGTCCCACCCCGTGCAGAGGCTGACGCTTTAACCACGGAGCCACCAGCCGGGGCAAACCTGCTTCCTGCAGTGACCACGGAGGACCTGGCTAAGGTGACGGCTGCTGGCTGAGCAGCGGGCTCCAGGGCGAAGCCCGGGGACACGCCAGCGGCGCTTACCGAAGTAGTCGAGGCAGTTCATCTCGCGCAGCGCCTTGGGGAGCCGCAGGATCTCGATGTTGTACAAGTTATCCATCTCCTTGAGGATGTTCAGCCCGTCAGACAGAATCTGCTTGGATCGTATTTGCACTGCGATGGAGCAGAGTGGACAGAACCGGGGTCCCCGGTAGGTGAAAGGCGCCCGGAACCCGTGCTGCCCGCCGCCAATCCGCCAGCACCCCGCGATCGCCCCGCAGCCGCGACGACCCGCGCTCGGCCCTTACCTTCACGGTCGAAGTCCTTAAGAAAGGAGGCGAGCTTCCGGCTCCGTAACAAGTTGGTTTTGGTCACCCGACGGCTGGCCTTCCTCGCCGGAGCCATGGCGCCTCAGTGGCGGCGGCTGCGGGGAGCCGGGAACCGAGCCCCAAGGGGTTAGAGGCGGAGCCTGGGGAGGGAAAGCGGGGGGCCGCGAAGGCGCGGGAGAGGACGGACGCGCGCGCCCCAAGAGTTTGTGGAGCGGGTTGACCTTCGGGGTCTGAGCGTAAAGCAGACGCGAGGAACGTACCTGCGGACCCCAAAAACAAGGGGGAACCTCGCCGCTCAAACAGCGAGGGAGCGGCTCTCGGGCTACCGAGACGTGCGACCGCCGTCACGAAATTCAAACTGCCACAGGCTGACCAATGAGAAGGCGCGGTCTTAGAAGGCGGGTCCACGACACCCAATCACAGAGAAGCTCTGGTGTCGGCCGCCGGCTCACAGGTAGGACTACAATTCCCAGAAAGCACTGCGGCACGACAGCATATTTTCGCGACCTCACTGCGTAGGGACAGCGCTCTGAAGACCTGCGGGTGCAGGCCAGCGGCTCCCTGGCGTCCTCAAAATTGGACGGCCTCTTGAAGCGTTTGCGTTTTCCCGCTGGTTTAAGGGAAGCGACCGGCCGTCTCAAGGACAAGCGACAAGATTCCGGAAGCACAACCGGTCTGGTGTTGGGGAGGCCGGGCTGGGGCCCCGGGAATCCGCAGTCTGCAGCCCCGTCAGATCCTCCAAGGGACAATCGGGGACCCCTTCCCGAGCGGGGAGATCAGCGACCCGCCTACCGAGAGCCCCTCTGAAGGTAAGCCAGCGCCTGGCGCCGGGAGCTCCTGTCGGAGGGGACAGACAGTCCTACCTGAAACTCATCTGGGAATGGAAATAACTCCCGCCCTTGATCTGGTACTTCCCCTACCGACTTGGGACCCGAATGCTACATAACCTGTGACTAAGGTAGTTTGTTTACCCCTTCCGCAACAGATGACTCAAGACGGGCCTTTGCTGGCGGTGCGGGAGGCCCTGAAGAAGTGCTTTCCGGCGGTGGAGGAGCAGCAGGGCCTGTGGCAGAGCACCCTGAGGGACTGCCCGCCCCTCCTGGCCTCCCTCAGCAACCTGGCCGAGCAGCTGCAGGCGGCGCAGAACCTGCGGTTTGAGGATGTGCCGGCGCTCCGGGCCTTCCCGGGTTTACAGGAGCGGCTGAGGCGCAAGCAGCTGGAGGCCGGGGACACCGTCCTGGACCAGCTGGGAGAGCGGCTGTAAGAGAAGAGGCTCCTTGGCGCGCTTGGCGGGAAGATGTTAAAACCCGGCGTTCCATAAGTCGCTAGGCTCAGTCAGGAAGGTGTTTTCTCCCTTACTCTGGAGCATGGCATTTGGAGGTGCCTCAGCCTTCTTTCTCTTCTTTGCGTCTGTTGCAGAGGATCTCTGTCAGACAGCCATCTTCTGGCATTTCCCTGGTCAGAGGCCAGGTGCGGCCGCGGTGGGCTTCGTAGAAGTTAAAAAAAGTAAAATAGAGAAGCAGTGGAGAATGCTGATGAGCTAGCTCTCTTCTGTAGTTTCCTTTGGCCAAAAGCAACGAGGAACTACCGTGGACCCCTGAACAACACTTGGGGTTAGGGATGCCGTCCAGTGCCACGGAAAATCTACGTGTCACTACAGTTGGCCCTCCCCATACGTGGGTTCCCAACTGCAGAGTTAACCCTTGAACAATGCAGGTTTGAGATGTGCTGGTCAAATGAAAAAAAATCCCCATATAAGTAGACCTGCACAGTTAAAGCGCATATTGTATTTTATGTTGTGAACTTGGAGGGTGTCTGAGCAAAGGGTATTACATACATTATTGCATAGAATCTTTTCAGCACCTCTGTGTCTTAACCTCACTTAACCCCATTTTGCAGGCGAGGAAACTGAGGCTCAAACAGATTGCCTCTGGTCTCACAGTTAGTAAATGGCAAAGCTGGGGTTCTCACCCAAGGGTGCCCGAACAACCACTTTATTCTGCTGTACATGGGTGTCTGCAGCCAGGAGTAGCACATCTGTCAACCCTTATCATGCCTGATGTTAGACTCTACCTTAGTTACAGGTTATGAGGGTAGAGGAAAGACAGGGCACAGATTGTTCTAGTGTATAGAGTATATGCCATAGACCAATAGTCGGCAAACCGAGGCTCACGAGCCACATTCGGCTCTTTGGCCCCCTGAGTGGCTCTTCCACAAAATACCACGTGCGGGCACGCACATCCAGTGCGATTGAAACTTCTGGCCCATGCACAGAAGTTGGTTTTCGGCTCTCAAAAGAAATATCAATCGTTGTATTGTTGATATTTGGCTCTGTTGACTAATGAGTTTGCCAACCACTGCCATAGACTAATACAAAACTGTCCAAAATGGGGACCTTCTTTGTACTCATTTGTACAAAATACAGTTATTAAGCACCAGTGGGATGCCAAGTACAAAGTTCTGGGTCTGCAACAATGAACTGGATTTAACTCCTTAGTTGGGTAAAAGAGATAGTCATTTAAATATTAGGTCATGGTATATTCTAAGAGAATGAGTTTTTATTTCAATTGTTTACATATGTGTGCGTGGATATTAGGCTGCTATTTTAAGTCTCCTTTAAAATTATGGGTCATGGTGAAACGTTTGATTCCAAGATAAGGAATGCCCTGCCCTTTAGGAAATTGTAAACTTTGCCTTGGTGGCTGGGCCCCGTGGAGTCACCAGTGGAGTAATAACAATATTTACCACAAGCTGGGAACTTCTCGCAGCATTTTATGTGCATTATTGCATTTCATCTTCACAATAACCCTTTTTATTCACTCAACAAGTGTTTGTTCTATGTGCCAGCCTCAGTGTTTGAGGTACTTAGGATGTGCAGTGAGCAAAACAGACTGGCTTTATACGAGAGAGAAAAAGAAGCTTTCCAAAGCCCACATTAGTTTGTGTGCACTGCAACCTAAACTTTCACCATTAAAGAATTTACTAGGATGGGGCTGGGCAACATCTGGATAGAACTGGTTTGTTGCTCCAGTTGTGCCTCTTATTCACTTTTCACATTCATGTGTGAGCAGTTGCTTTTCTTATACAGCTTTATGGCAGCCTCGGACAGGCCCCGTGGTCATTACTTCCTTTGAAAGCCATATAACTTATGTGTCTTCTCCATCTTTAAGTACATTCTTAATTCTTGAGCCACCCCTACCTCCAAGGCATCGTCATCAATCTCCTTACACAAGTGGGTGTCATTTGGAGGCAGTTTTTCCCCAATGGGATATTTGGCAATACCTGGAGATATTATTGATTATCGCAGTGTGTGGAGAGTGGGGACGTGGTTTGGTCCTGCCATCTAGTGGGTAGAGGCCAGGGATGATGCTAAACCTCCTACAGTGCACAGGACAGCGCTCCACCACAAAGCATCATGTGGTCCAGAATGTCAGTGTGCCAACGGCGAGGAACCCTGTCTTCTGCCTTTCTCATGATAATGCCTAATACCAGACCCTTCCCCCCAGAGCTGCCCTCCTCAAGGTGCGTGATGCTGTCAGCAGCCACGTGGGACAAGTGCTTCAGGTCTACGAGCAGCACGCAGACGCCATCGGCATTGACGCTGTCCTGCAGGCTTCGGCGGCGAGCCCCTCTGTGGCTGACATGTTGGAATGGCTGCAAGACATTGAGAGACATTATCGAAGTTCGTATCCTTTGCACACATTTCAAATAGTATCCAGGGCTGTTCCAGGAAGTCTTTTTTTCCCCCTTTTTCTTTTTAATTCTCACCTGAGGATATTTTTCCATTGGTATTTATTTATTTGTTTATTTGTTTGTTTGTTTATTTTTTCCCATTGATTTTTAGAGAGAGGGAAAGACAGAGAGAAATATCGATGTGAGAGAAACACATCAATTGGTTGCCTCCTGCATAAGCCCTGACCAGGGCCTGGCCTGGGGAGGATCCTGCAGCCGAAGGACGAGCCTTTGACCGGAATTGAACCCGGGACTCGTTGGCTGACGCTCTATTCACTGAGCCAAACCAGCGAGGGCCCAGGAAGTCTATTTTTTCACAGAATTACAACATTGTATAGTATGGGTCAGTTCTCTTTGGTTCCTGAATTTCGGTTCTTCCTACAGTTATTTCTCAACTCATTTATTGAGTAGCTATTACCTGCCAGGCATTTTTCTAGTTTCTGGGCGTTAAAAAAGGAAGACACATAGAATGTCAGGTGGTGATGAGTGCTATGGAGAAAAATAAAGCAGGGAAAGTGAGGGCTGAGGGCGAGGTGGTGATCTTAAATAGGGCGGGCAGGGCCGGCCTCACTGAGAAAGTGACACCTGAGGGAAGACATCAGGTGCAAAGGCCCTGACGTGAGAGCACGCCTGAATGTTCAGGAAATAGCAAGGAAGCAGTGTGGTTAGAGCAGAGTAAAGAGGGGAACCTAACAGGAGAGGGGCTAGATCTTGTAGGGCCGTGAGGTCTTTGAGAGGATTTGGCTTTCACTTTGAATGAGATGGGAAGCTATTAGAAGGTTTTTACATAAGCAAACCTGTTTTTAACAAAGCACCCCGGCTTTGTTCTGAGGAGAGACTTGGGATGGTGTGGAGCAAGAGTAGAAGCAGAAAGATCATTTAGTTGGATGGCCTTTTTTTCTCGATTCTTGCCTGATACACTGGCTTAAATGTCTCCCATCATTTGGATAACTCTCAAGTCCACGCTTTCTTTCCAACTGGATTGCTTATGCACCTGCACACTCAGATTTAGAATTGAGCTCCTCTATCTAGTCCTCACATTCTACATTCTACTTCCTTTCCCTTTAGTTGTAGAATCAACTGTGTATAATCGCCCACTTTGAAGACTTAAGCAGTATCTTCGCCCTTTCTCTCTGTTCTCTTTTTCAGTTGCAGCAGCAGCATGGGCAGTAGGAGCTTCAGCTGCAGCAGCAGCATTACTGAGCACTTATGTGCCAGGTGCTGCTCTGAGCCTGTTCACACAGTCACCTGTCATGTCCTCCTCCCCGGTTCCCCCGGTGCGTTTTATGTATTGTTTCTCCGCATCGCCTCTTCCATGGTTTCTTACCTCTCCTTTGGACTTTTAATCACATGCTGCCTCCTGCTTCTGTCTCTAGCTTCTTTCCCAGTAAGCCATCCCCCACATGAGTAACCTCACCCCACGTTTCTTCAGGAGATCGAGTTCTGATCCTGTGTAGGAGTTTTTAGTAGCTCCTGTTGGGAGGCGGGCAAAATGCAGAATTCCCACGCTGGGCTGCAGTGCTCTTTGTTCTGGCTCAACCACCTTTCCTGCTACTTGACACATTGTTCCATACCAGCTGCGCTAGAAGGTTTATTTGTCCCTGAGTCCGTCCCAGATTTCCCCACCTCCGTGCCTTTGCTTATGTGTTTCCTGCCGGCTGGGATCTTCCTGGTGCCCCTAACCTATTATAGATGAATTCATCCTCACGCTTCCTCTGACTTTTACCTCACGCATCACTTAGATGCCTTCTCCTCAGTTTCTGGTGTTTCCTCGCCGTGGCGAGGCCCTAGACTTCAGTGTTCCACCGGTCCTGCCGGTGGAAAACTCCACTTTTAGCTGCATTCTCACTTTTATGCGCTTTCTAGCTCTCCAGGATATTTTTCTCTCCTTCAATATATTTTCTTTTCCTTTTGATCGGTCCTTAACTCCCAGGAAGGTACCTGAAGAGAAAGTACCTCCTGTCCTCAATCCGTTGGGAAGACCTGGCAAGCATCCAAGCCTTGCCTGCAGCCTGGGATCGGATTTCGGAAGATGAGCACCCAGACTTGGTACCAGGTACTGGCTTTGGCTCACTCCCTCATGCCTCCCTCCTCCGTTCGGTCCCCGCGTCTCGCTTCTTTGGGAGCGTCGCAGAGGCGCCCTCACAGAGCCTCTGCCTCTCCTGTCAGCCTGGAGAGGTGGTATGTCACGGCTCTCTCTTCCTCTTCCAGACATCCTGCTGACTGTGTCCTTCTTCCTGGAAGAGTAAGGAAGCCGTGTGATTATCTGGAGACCAGAGGGACACAGTTGAAGACCACCAGTGCCGCACTCTGCTATTTCTTAAGAAATACCGATATTGCAACCGAGCTTATTTGAAAGATGGTCTACAGCCTAAGGACTGGCTCTTGGGAGAATTGTCGGGGCTTCTCCCTGCCAGGTCACGGCTGAGGGTACGTGGGCCACACCTTGCTCTTTCTAAGGCTCCGGGGAATGGGTGGAGGCAGAGGGATGCAGGGGAGGCACTGAAGATCCCCCAGGACAGAAGCAGCAGCCACAGAAGTGGTAAGGAAGGACAGATAGAGTGGCACCACCACTGGCATCACCCAAAGCCCTGAGCCTGGTTGGCACCAAGCCCTGGTTTGGTGTACTTGTGTTCGTACCTGATTCTTTGAAGAACGAGAAAGTTTACTTTGATGATTTAAAGAAATAAGGGTGATGTTGATAGAAAAGAGTCATTGTTTTCCAAGTGCAATATAAGCTCCTTATCAAGCCAGTTTCAATTCCCAGAGCCTACCACCAGGGGGAGGTGGTGCAGCATGAATGAATCTGAATGCTGTCCTCTGTCGCTTACTATAATATGTGAGAGTAAGTGGGGATAGTGGGACTCCTAACATGATGAGTTTTACGACCAATGCTGGCAACTTACTTGCCACATACCTCTGATCTTGGAATAGTTGCAGGGGTGCGGGACCCCAGCCTAGAGTCAGTGATCAGGTTTTTCGATGTGTTTTCGTCACAGAGATGAAAAATAGCTGAGAAAGGTTTGCAGCGCAACCAGGGAAAGATCTAACTCAGTGATAACTCACTGTGAGAAGACTTCATAGTGACGGCTCAGTTGGGCTTGAGGCTCATTTTCCTGGGGCTAGGAGAGGACTGCAGGGCACTTAATGCACAGGGGATGGGCTAAGCAACATGCTGAGTGCCCGGTGTTGTGCTTGTTGCTTTATACAAAATAGATATTGATTGAAAAGTTCTCCCCCAGTTACTCAGTCTCTTTCCTCGAGGCAGCCAGTGTTTAATGATTCTGGCATATCCTCCTCAAAATACTCCTCGCTTCTGTCAGCGCAGTGGTGGGTAACCTCTAAGACAGCCCGGAACAATCTCACGCCCGTGGACATCTCTTCCCCGTCAGTGTGGGCTGGACTCCCAGACTTGCTTCTAGGGAAGAGAATACTGCAGACATGGTGGGATGTCACTTCTGAAACTAAATTATGAAAAAGACTGCAACATCCCTCTTGGGTGATGTCTCCCAGTCTCTTGGACCCCTCATCCTGGGGCAAGTCGGCTGTGATGCTGGGGCAGCCTGTGGAGAGTCTGGGTGAGAGACTGAAGCCTGCCAGCAGCCACGGGAGCGAGCTTGGAAGCAGATCCTCTCCTTCAGATGAGACCACAGCCCAGCTAACTGCTCGACGACACCCTGGTGAGGACCACGCCAGAGGCAAGCAGCTAAGCTGTGCCCAGATTCCTGACCCATGAAAACATAATAAATGTCTGAAGTCATTAAGTGTTGGGTTCCACAGCAGTTGTTAACGAATACAACAAGCAAATATGTTTCTGTGTCTTCGCCATAATTTTACACAAATAGTAAAGTACAGGCCCAGTTTTGTGCCTTGTTTTTTCTAAAGCAGTTGTCGAGTTTTCTGTTGTGTGGGCATTCCATAATTTATTTAACTAGCCCTGACTCGTGGACGAGTGGACTGTCTGTAGTCTTAATGTCAGTTAGGTATCAGCAATCTCCCTCCCCTCCCATCCCTGCTCGTGATGCTTTTTTTTCAATTAGCTGATCCCATCCTACCCACTCAGCCCCAATAAAAAAGAAGAATCCTGTTGGTATTTTTATTGAAATCATATTACATTTAGAAACTAATTTAAGGAGAATCATCATAGTGGGAGTCCTAACACTCTTCCAACCGTGCCACTGGCTTTGGGTTGAGATAGCAAATGTGAGTTCTTTTTTGATTCCCTCAGTGGGGAAACAGGCTCTGAGTTCAGGACACATTCCCTGTCAGTGAGACAATTCGTTGGGATGAAATGAATTTAGGTTTCTTTCTTTCCTGTCTCTATTACATCCCCATTTAGACATCAACCTCAAGTCTGTTCTCTCAGGCAGAGTAGGGGTTTTTCTTTCTTTCTTTCTTTCTTTCTTTTTTTTTTAGGAGGAGGGATTTTTCAGTCAGCGGTATCCTAGCTCAGAGGAGGACTTCTCCCCGCCCAAGGAGAGTCCAGGCTTTATAGTGATTGTATTACGTTTGATTTTAATCTGGATGGTAGGGGCCAGGGACCGTCTGTGACTTGTTTAAGCATTAGGTGTTAGTAATTCCTTCTTCCCATGGGGCAGCAGGCTCAGGGATGCGGGTGCGTTGATAATCAGCTCAGGGAAGGCTTGCTGAATTGCAAGTGACCCAGACCTGGGTTCAAGTCCCAGCTCAGGTGACCTTGAGTGAGTCATTTCCCCTCCCAAGTTTCGATTTCTTCATCTGTATAATGGAGATGATGATACATGTCCTCACAGGATTGTATGTTTTAAGTGAGAGGAGGTATGTGAGGGCTTTTGGTTAAATGCATGAACATTTAAGGGGTTGAAATTCACTTGGAGATTTGTTGGTCACCTACCAAGGGCATGGCTCTGTGTGGAACGGGTGTGCCTGAGAGATGGTGTTTTCCGAGGGTGCACAGCTTGTCAGTGACTTGCCAGAATCTGCCCCGGGTTCTGGTGAGAGGGGTCTTTCCCTGGCACCACTGTTTCCGCCTTGCCGCAGAGGCAGAGGCAGAGGCATCCCTGACCCCTCCTCAGCGGGGTCCGCAGCCCTGCACGGGACACGGTTCCTCCAAACAGCAAGGTGAGTGCAGTGCTTCCCCATCCTGCGTGCCAGTGGCATAGGGCAGCCAAGGCGCTGGGCAGCTGCAGCCTTGCCAGTTACCCTCCCTTCTGGTCCCCTGGCCAGGAGGGTTGGAGTGATCCTGGGCTGCGTGCCAGAGTCTTACACTTTTGCTCTTTATGCCAGGGGCTGGGAGGAGAGAGCTGGGGGGGGGGGGGGCTGCCACTTCCAGGCACTCTCCCTCCTCCCGTCATTCCTGGAAGGCTCCTTCTGGTTTCTACATCGGGCAAAGGAAAGTCATCTTTTCTGAGCCCCAGAGATTCTGACCCAGGATGTGTGGGGAGGGTCTAGGTGTGTCAGACTTCTTATCAAGTAGACCTCATTTTCTTTAAGAAATAACCTTAATCCCGAGAAAAAGAAGCAGCTCAGAGAGAGAGAGAGCGCGAGCTGGCAGAGTAGCCATAGAATTGCCCTTCTCTGGGGAAATGGCCTTCGTAACTTCCTCATTGCCTGCTTCTTCCCTGTTGCTTCTCAACACCCAGCTCGTCCTCAAACAGGCACATCGGCTCTGTCCACACCCCCACCTCCATGCGTTTGGAGTCAGGTAGGAACAACCTATGTACATGGTGCCTTGCAGCCGGCCACATTGCATTTACTCCTTCAGAGGCCTCCCACGTGCCCAGCACAGAACCGACAACGAATGATACAAAGTTAAGTAAGAAGCACACAGCTGAGTGGGCCAGACAGATCCGTAAGCCCATGGTGTACAGGGAATGCAGGGGATGGAGAGGGACTGAGTCTTTCTATGGGTTTTTGTGAGAGACAAGAAAGGGAAAAGTAAGAGCAGGCCCCAGCAACTTGATTTCGGTGAGGATCTTTCCCTGGTCTGTCCCAGAGGAAAGGGGTGGGGGAGGGCGCCCGCAGGGCCCAACGGCCATCCTGGGGGCAGGAAGCCACCCTGGGCGCTCTGGCTCAGCTCTTCCTGGTTCAGATGTGCGCGGTAGTACTCACTTTGCACCGAGAGCCCAGACTAATAAATCCTCCACTCAATTGCAGTCCCTACGGTGCGTTTATAGGCAGCAGCTGACTTTTATCAGCTAGTTTGTTCTTTCATATAAGGATTTTATGAGGGTCTCCTGAGCTGGCTCGTAACGTGATGAAACGTCTGCAAAACTCAACCATAAATCCCCGGCACCTGCCAAGCGGAGGATGCTGTTTTCCAGGCACATTTCGTCCAGCTGGCGGCTCTGTCCCCTTGCCCAGTTTGCATTTTTGCACTTGTCTCTTTAAACTTGGATTTGTTTTTCAACTCTCTTGCGGCCTCTTTAAAGGCAACTGAGAAATGAGGGGTGGGAAAAAGGAACTAGAAAGTTACATCTGTGCTAAAAATTACCCCTGGCTTATGTCGCCCTGAAAGCTGGTTTGGATCCTTCCTGTGCAAGGGAGGCGTAAGGCTTCCCAGCCACACGAACCCGGGGGGTGGGGGAGAAAGTGGGGGTACGTGGGGGTGGCTGAAGGACAGTGCCAGCTCAGCTCGTTCTTAATTCTTTGGTTCCTTTCTGGGGCATCACCTTTAGTTCTTGCCAAAGGGCCCTCTCCTAGGTTGTCTGGTCTGTAAATGAAAGAAACCGCTCCAGAGGCCCTTTTCCCACATGGTCTCCAAGCAGGAAACCTTTCCCCAGCATTCCGAGCTCCCCAAGCTGGAGATGAAATTTAAATGCCCTTCCTCCTCCAAATAAGGGAAGACCTGGACGCTCTGGGGATGCTGGCTGGCCTGAGGTGTGCTGGTGACTTGGGAAAGCTGCAGACCCCTCAGTGGAGCGTGTGATCCGTTTAGGAGCTGTTGGCTTATTCACCTGTATGTCCACAGGTTCTCTCTTGTGGTCAGGAGACCTCTAGGTCAGGAGGAGACCTCTGTGGCTGCCCTTCACGTGACCTCATCCTTTGCTCACCTTCCCTGGACCCCACTTCAGGGCGGCTTCATGGGCATGCCACCTTCGCTCACAAGGGTCCCCAGCTTGACCTAATGCTCTGCTGTTACCCTCTTGAAACTCTTCGTAGTTTTTTTTTGTTGTTTGTTTTTTTAAATATATTTTATTGATTTTGTACAGAGAGGAAGGGAGAGTGTTAAAGAGTTAGAAACATAGATGAGAGAGAGCCATCGATCAGC